GCACACATTGAGAGATTTCAATTTGACATCCTGTAAATAATCATAATCATTTGCACCTTCAGCCATCCTAAACAGCTATGATTAGGACCAAATCATTTACCGCATTTTCCGCACTAAAAGGCGCACCTAAAAGCCTTCCATTTTCTTAAAAGCTCATAGCGTGCCTTAAAAGCTGATGCGCCTTGTGTTTGGTCATTATGGTAATATGTCAACCCCAAAATGGCTCCTTGCTAGAGACATGCTTACAACGCAGAGTTCAAACTTAAGGCGATTGGTTTCGCAGTTAAACACGGAAATAGAGCAGCGGCAAGAGAGTTCAACGTTAATGAGTCAATGTTATAACTTGCTGTTGGTTAAGTGAACTGTGTCACTGCTTTATTAAATAAGTTTTACTGACATCTAATCGTCGCTCTATAAATCAGGGTGTAGTGTAGTGTTCTGTTGGCATTTCTTTAAGCGTAGCACCATCTAGTGGATGCATTGTAGATTGCATCTTATAATGAGGTGCGTCCAATATATGAAAAACATTACAAAATAGGCCATTCATTGAAGGTGCGCCTCATAATCCAGTGCACCTTTTAGCGTGGAAAATATGGTTATTGATTCAGTGAAAATTATTTTGAAGAAAATATTCAAGATTCTTTACCCCTTGTCAATATTCCATACCTCACTATCATTTGATGTCTTCAGTACAGAGAGTTCTCGGCTGTGACCTTGAAGCCACACACTCACACACACACACACACACACACACACACACACACACACACACACACACACACACACACACACACACTACACTCGCACACCTCAGATTTCCATCTGCTTGCACTTACATTGATGTTAGTCTTATTCTCTCTCGCTCACTCGTCTCTCTTGGTCCCGAGTTCTCTTCCTCCCTTTGTTGTCCCCGTTGTTGTTTCCATGTCTTTGAAACTTAAAAATATCCCAGCCGATTGTGTTCTGTACATTTTGTTACCATGGTGATTGCCACGTAGAGCAAGCAAAGCGAGAGAAAGCGCATGTTTGCATCTATAATGCGTGTTCATGTGCCAATTGCAGTGCTATCAGCCGTGCACAGCCACCTTAGGAGTTTAATGCAAGAAACGGCAAGAAAAAGAAAAACACCCACCATCACCTCTACTCCCTTTATGCTTGTCTCATCTTTCTCATTTTCCCTTCATTCCTATCATTCTCCACTAACCGGGTCTCTAAATATCATCCATCACTCTGCTGTTACACCTCAAGGTGACAAGGACGGTGGCAAAAGAACAAGGAAGGAAGAAAAAGAAGACCTCAGGAGAGAAACAAGTTGGGTCTTAAAATGAATATTATTATTGTGACATTTAGGTGCCCTCAGACATCAAGGGCTCTCGTGGCTTTATTCACAAACCATTTTGCCCCATGCACATTTCAAGAAGAATGTGGCATTCACCAACGTGTTTTCTGAAAAAAAACTCCACAGAATACTAGTCGTGGGAAATGACACCTGACATTATTTAATTTTAGGTGATGCTATTGTTGCATCATGTGTTAGGATGTGAATACCAGTATATCCTCGTGACTGATTAGTAAATTTTTATTTGTAGTTATTTCGTTTTTGTTTTTCTCAAACAATTTCTTTAAGGGAATTCAGTGATGAAACACGGAATACAAATCATTGAATCATGAATGCTTTTAATTCTTACTCATAGTTAAAAATGAAGAGTTTGGATTCTGAAAGCAAAAGGTCATGTTCAGAGTACCGCTTGAGAGTATTGAGGTGCCCATGCGCCAGGCATCACCTCTCCAGATGAAGTGGTGGAGCATTTTTGTTCTCTCATTTCAATTTGACATCACTCGGTGCATGCCTGCATGTGCGCAACGTGGTCCTCTGTGTAGTGGGCAACACCAAATATACAACAGAGTGTCATGATCCTCTGAGTTATGTTTTCTTTCTTCTGACAGTTGGCTCTTCCCTCTGTTTTTCCTTTTTTTGTTCTTCCAGATGCCAAACAATTTATTCCTGCCTACTCCATCAGCATTGCATGCGGCTCCTACTGATCTTTTGCCCCCTCCCCCCCCCAGCCCATCCAGCGCATGGGCCCACATTGCATTAGATTTTGTAACTGACTAACCTCCTCCGAGAAGTAATAGTCATCCTTCCGATTGTGGCCCACTTTTCAAAGATGACGCACTTCATTGTCTTGCTCAAAAGCTCCCTTTCGGGTTTAAGCTTGCCAATTTCCGAGTGCGCTACATTTTGCGGGTCCATGGCATCCCCCCTCTGACAGAAGTCCAGAGATACTTGCACAGTCTGCCCCAATGGCCAGATGTCACCAAGACATATATGACATTGATTTTTAGTGTATTGATTGTATTGTATTGTATCGATTTTGATTAAGATCCTGAAAAATGGGCAATCCAGCCAGGTACATTGAGTTATTTTCAAAGTGCTCCAAAACAGATGCATATTATTGAAAATGAATGTTAGTTTCGTTTTCCTGAGGAAAGTGAACTTGTAAGTGAAAAGTGGACCACCTTGATGCTACAGGTCCTTGAACCTAACATACATGTTTTTTCAGAGTGTCCATCCACACAGAGTGAAAATCGCCACATGTGCTCCCACCCACTAGTTCCATATTTCTTTTATAGCCCATCCAGGCATCCATTTTCGATACCGCTTATCCTGTGCACGCTCACAAGGTGCTGTGTCCTATCCCAGCCGACTTTGGATGAAAAGCGGAATACACGACTCAAATCCCGCCCCCACACACTGTTAGCATAAAATGTTTTTTGCCTCTTTGCTCGTTTGTTTACACATACGTAAAGGGTCTTTGGACCTCATTCGTAATACACGCATAGAAATGTTTTTTGCGCAGCGTCAGATTCATCACACAAGCGCACTGGCCCATTTTATTCGCACCTCTGTGCATATGTTAATGACTCCGATTTCATTTTAAATGATGAATTATGCCTGCGGCGCTTCAATCTGCATAAACCTCGCCCCTATTTTCCAGGTAAAAGCCATTTTGATCCATCTCAGCCAATGCGCGGGGGGGGGGTTAAAGTTGCGAGAGATGGCGCAAAACATTCATCAGTTTCTTTATCCTGATCTGATTTTCAGAAAGTTGCTTTCATCAGATAGCTTGCTCAAGACAGAACATTGACAATAGGGTCATCCCCAGACCTCATTTAGTGGGACACGTGCACCAGTATTAATGAAGTTAAATTCATTGAGTTTGACATTGAGTTAAATTCTTAACTGGACAATTTTAGAGGCAATTGACTCTTCAATGTCATCAGTTCAAAGGTGACAAAACACTGTGGTTTAAGTGGAGGTGAGACACATACGGGCGCACGCACACACAAGCACATCCAATATCCATCAAGATGTCCCTGTAGCCCTGTCACCATCCTCAGCGAGCTGATAAACTTCTGTTCTGTCCACAAATCTAATTACCGCACCAGCACTGCCATCACCGTTTCTGATACCTTGGCGTAACCTCTCTTTCTCCTTCAGCAACCAATCCCCTCAAACAAACTTGTCTAATGAAAATACATTCCTGGCTTTGGCTGATTTAGCAGATTTCACCTCACATTCTCATTTCTCCTTGGCACTCGCTCTGTGTGTGTGTGTGTGTGTGTGTGTGTGTGTGTGTGTGTGTGTGTGTGTGTGTGTGTGTGTTGAGTAGAACTTGTAGTAGCCCGAAATGCTGACGTTGGAGCACTGAGCATTTCTGTGTGCATTTTAGAATGAGGTTTGCACTGTATCTCCAAACAGCTTAGTGGTAGTTCGAAAGGGTGGGAATTGAGATAGAAGAAGAAAGACAGTTGGATTTTGCGTAGGAGCTAGGTGATGATTGGCGGATATAAAAGCAAAGCATGCTGGGAGAAACTAAAGATTCCAAGTCACTTTATGTATTGTATCTTCTACGATTATAATGTGTCACTATGAGGCGTGGGAAATATAACTGGTATTGCAGCTATCTGATAAAAACCCAGTTTGTCCATTTATTCTCAGTGAATTGTGACTTCCTGTTTTCTTCTCTATGTTGTGTCAACACAGCCTAACCGAGTGACCATTGAGGTATCTATCAAACACATACTTTTGCTTGAGACAGCACCAAGCTATTTGTTGCTGTTAATCGCAAAAAGAACAAACAAGAGCCGAATAAATTCTTAATCATCAAGGTCAGAGAGTACATAGGGGCATTCCCCAACAGAAATTTGCCCCGGGCCCTTATTAATCTTGAAATGTGGGAAAAGATGCATTCCTTCGTACAAAATTAATATGTGAACAACACAAACAAACACGTGAAAACTCAACCACACATTTTAAGCAAGTTTAGTCAGTTGTCAAGTCACAGAGGATGAAATACAGTAGAGAAAAAAAAAACATGGAAATTCCTGGCGGCCCGGTGGTCCAGTGGTTAGCACGTTGACCTCACAGTGCAGAGGTACCGGGTTTAATCCCTGTGTGGAGTTTACATGTTCTCCCCGGGCCTGCGTGGGTTTTCTCCGGGTACTCCGGTTTCCTCCCACATTCCAAAAAACATGCATTGCAGGCTAACTGAACATTCTAAATTGTCCCTAGGTGTGAGTGTGAGCGTGGATAGTTGTTTGTCTGTGTGTGCCCTGCGATTGGCTGGCAACCGGTTCAGGGTGTCCCCCGCCTACTGCCCGAAGACAGCTGGGATAGGCTCCAGCACCCCCTGCGACCCTTGTGAGGATAAGCGGATCGGAAAATGGATGGATGGATGGATGTAAATTCCTGCCCCAAATTCCAACAACGATGACCAAAATTGGATTCTTCTTTTGTGCTATCCCTCTACAGAGACTAGAAATAGGTTTATGCCTGTATCGACCAACCAGCCAACCTATCTACCTCCCGAGTTGAACTAACTGCTTAACGAACTAAGTAACCGTTTAACTAACAGCTCTTCACCTGGTGTTGTGCGAAGGTAATGAGTACAGCTGTAGTGTAAATGCAAAGCAAGCCATGTGTCTCATTAACTTACTGAACAAATCGGAACTGGACGGACTGTCACCATCATTTGATGTTTGTCATGACTGCAGTCCATAGGCCGGTCAAGCCTCCTCTTGTCCAGCTGTCCTTTGTCATCCTCCAGCGTCCTGAAGTGTCCTCTTCAAACATTTCTTTTCCTCTTGGGAGCTTTGAGCACTGCCAGCTGAACCACCTTGTCGCCAGCTGGCTCCCACGGTCGGCTGCCACCACCTTGCTCTGTACCCTGAAACAATCAGCAAGACCGCATAACTCTTCAAGATAAGCATGGATAATATTTAATGCAAGTGACAGTGATGGGGAGAAACAAGCAAATGCATTCTTGAATTCACAGATGAGAAGAGTGTCAGATATCCCATGTGGCGGTATCAAAAAGCCAAGGTTCGAGCCCCTGAAGAGGCCTCCATTGAAGCAATTCCCAGGTGTCCAAGGCAAAGCTCCACCCCTCTGCACCCTCCAATGGGATCAGTAAAGGTCACCCGGCAACACAGGTCAAAGCTTTGATCCAATCAGAGCAAAAACCAGTGGTGGGAGTCCTTTTATATGAGTGGTTGCAGGAAATGGTTGGCTGTCATTTTGTATTTCAGAGGAAAACACTGAGCTAAAGGGAAGCAGGTACCAGCCCAATTATTATACACCAAAGCTTAGATGCTTCTGTCCTAAATGCATGGTGGAAACAAAAAAGTAGCATAATGACTGTTATTATTAAACTGCATATTTAATGACCTCCCTATGAAAGCCCTTGGAAAGTCAATTGGCAGTTATGAATTCATGCAGGCAGTGAGTAGGCACGGGGATTGACCCTTAACGTGACCTTGAACGCTTTGAACATTTTCTCCTCCACCCCTCAATCCCTCTTTCTCGCTCCCTTTTTCTGCCTGCACTTGATCCCCGGCAATGAATGCTTTGATTTGTGCCGTCCAGCTGCATAAGTAAACCACATTACATTTTAGGAATATAAATAGCAAAAAGCTCTTTTGTAAAAACGTCATAGACTTCTCTCTGGCAGGACCACGTAACTGTTTAGAGTATATATTGAATGTAAATACCGTCTGCACATCATCGCAGATGCAGAGCAAAAAAGACAAGAGGAATCCTGAAAATTGGTGAAGATTTGACCAAGAGTTTCAATGGCGTCAAAGCATTTTTTCAATATAATAGTAATAACAAGTCTTTTTCTGTATCAAAGTTTTCGTGCATCCTGAAGGAAAGCATCAATTATATTCATTATTAATTGAGTTGACTAAAATTGCTCTGCTTTCATCAACTAAAATTGGACTAAAACAAAATTTTAATTTCTTGTCAAAATTAACTTGGAATGCTGGCTAGCGGCTACGCAAAATTCCTGTCAATTACGTGTCTGACACATACTGCACATCAGAGTTGACTGACATTGGCAACTCCAATTTAGAGTTTCCAATTAACCTATGATACAGCACCGTTACAGCATGCTGACTCAACACAGAAAGGTTCTATTATCTCTAAGACCTTGATCCCTGACACCTTTTTGCTGTGAGGCAACACTTCATGTCACTCGACCACTGTGCTGCCCCCAAATGAGGTCTCGTCAGGTCCCTCGCATGATCAGAGAAAGAAGTAAGAATAGGATTGTACACTGAGAAGCCAAGAGGTGTTCACCTGCACGAATTAATGAGATCCAATACAAAATGGGAAATACAATACAATACAATAAAAAAGGCTGCTTTGTAAAAACAAACACATCTGCATACCTTCTGCAAACATGTAATAGCAATGTTTCTTGTACAGAGCAGAAATTGTACAAGAAGGAATTGATGCATTATGGCTCTATTATGAAGTACTTGGATCGTGTCAGAAAATATGACACAAAAGTCATATGTAATAATCATATGTAGAAATAACTCAATTGTCTATCTCGTAACTCAAGGTCAGATCAGCTGCCAGTCATCATTACTTCTCGCACGGAGTGGTGTGACTTCTTGTCAAGTATTTTCTGTAGTTGTGGGCATTTCTTTGGAATGACAGGACAGCTGGTTTTACATTCAGCGTTTTTCCTTGTAGCTGCAGCAAAGCTATGAAACAATTGCCTGTCACTTTCACTCCGTGTCCTCCTCGTGTCCTCAGCCACATAGACAATGAAAAAGAGTCCCTCAATGATCAAATAAAACTGAGTAAATACAAACACACATCTCCTCAGTCAACATCGTCATACAAGTAGGTTGATGAGATAAAAATGAATATGTGTAAAACTGGAGTTTTCTTCACCTAAGATTAGATACCAGTGACAAGACACACAATATAGTTCAGCGATTAAATTATGTTAGTAAGGAGCGGATTGGACAAAAAAAATTAATAATGAGCATGCAGCAGAGCAAAGACGCTCTCCAAAGAGTAGCCCGGCGTCCCCCAAGGGACAGCATCGAGCGTCAATTAACTGACAGGCGGATGTATTAGAATTTCTATCACGAGCCTTGGTGGCATGGTGAGATGCGGCCCGACAATGCTTTGAAAACCGCTGTGGTTTCCCCATCAAAAACGTCCTCCGGGTCCTTTGATCTGCTGGGTGGTATGTGTCCTTGGAGATACATGTCGACTTCCTCAAAGCTCTTTGTCGCCTCCACCTCATTTTGCTGTTTTTACTTTTACTGTTACAGCATCTGCAGCATTCAGAATGATATGCGCAAATGTGTGTGTGTGTGTGTGTGTGTGTGTGTGTGTGTGTGTGTGTGTGTGTGTGTGTGTGTGTGTGTGTGTGTGTGTGTATGTGTGTCCGCCAACAATCAGTTCATGTAACCAGATGATATGATCACTGAATCGGCCGTTTTCACTGCACCGCACCGACTCGGCTTGCCATGATTGCACATACTCGCCGACTCAAGTTGGCTCATTTTTTTTACTACCAAATAGGACTGACTCGGTCAATGTACAAAACTGATCTCGCGTGTGTATTGAAAGAATATTGAAGGTTTCACTGGACAAAAATATCTAGGCCTTGGGTTGGACCCCCAAAAAATGTCTTCAAAACTTGTGTAAATACACTCTCGTGTCAACTAAAGTGGAAAAAAAAAAGATTTATAGCAGATCAAAACCACATTTCCCCTACCATGTGGGAAACATCTGGTCAAAGTAGTCTTTCTATCAGTTTTGGACTCCAGTGCCAGTATCTATAGTACAGACATGTGTCTGTCACGACAATAAAACCACTAGATTCTGTTCTTCACTCTAAACTTAGATTCCTTGCGAGCAACAGCTACTCCACCCAACATTGCACTTTATATCAGGCTCATCTTCATTTACAAAGTCTTGACAGGCAGTTACGATAGCACCGTGCATCAGCACTTTGTTAAACTGATCTCATAATAATCCGTCACCCTGTTCAAGTGACACTTTACTGTTCAAAGTTTCCTAGAAAAAAATGCTTTCTGTTTTCCTGCTGTATCGTCCTGGAATATTCTTTTAACAGTCACTCAAACCTCTCACATTTGTTACCATGTACCTTTCAGTGCTCTCAATACCTTCAGGATTTTGCTTTTGATTGACCGGGTTTGTGTTGACACTTCACTTTCTACACTTGGAAATGAGCAAAGGCAAACCTTGAAAAAAGAACCGACAGAAAAGACCTGAGGTTTCACTAGAAGAGGGGCATTTGTGTCCTCTTATGTAATATTGGCTCGCCACTGCCAACGTCTTCAATTCTCTGAGATGACCAGGTCTTTGGTATGGATTGATCCCCTAATTTCAGAGAATTTGTCTGGACCACAAAACCAAGATTGGTCTCAGTAGGGCATCGGTCTATCCATTTACGATGCCGCTTATACTTGCTAGCATTGCAGATGAGCTGAAGCTGATCTCAACTGACCTCGGGTGTCAAACAACCATTCATACTCATATTTACAACTAAGACAAATTTGGAGTCTTCACTGACCCTAACATATGAATTGCATGCATGAGGGGACAACCCACACAGGGGTAGGGAGGACATGCAACAAACTGTAAGGCGGATGTGCTAAACACTCAATCACTGTGAGCTATTGTCATGTCTCCTTCATCTCAAAAAAATGTGCATGATTGCTCATCAAATGCTTGAAACCCATGTATTTGGGGTGATAAATTAGATGCTCGTCCATTGGGGTAGGATTCCTCATTTAGATAAAGTACACGTAAAACCACACTTGCTCATTCATACATCAGTGTCTGAGTCCAACTTAAGCAATGTCGTTTTCGTAATGTGTGCCGCATCTGCCTAATGTAAATTCAAATTCAATCTCTGGGTTATTCTGCAAGTGTGACATAAGTAGTTAGACATCACAAAATCATGGTGACGTCAGTGAAACTCAGAGAATGAAGAGAACAGGCAACTACATCGATAGGTTGAGGGAGAACGCGTGTGTATTTTATGGATGAAAAAAAAATTGAAGCAGCAACTAGACTAAAAGTTGCAGGGGATTTTAGACAGCGGGCACAGATTACGGTACTATGAAAAGATTATGAGCAAAACATTAAAAAAAAAAGATATTTTCTGTGAATACTCTTATTTTATGTAATAGAGTTCAACTGAATACAAAGGGGTAATGGAAAACAAATCTGAGAAGCAAACAGCATTCTGTCTTTTTGTAATAATGTTACCCCTCATGAAATCAATCATCATCAAAATTTTCATATGCCCGACTACACCCGCAGCATAATGTTGACACACTTTAAGTCCAACCCCGGCCAAACACTATTTTCCAGAGAGTCCAATTTACTGTTTTCTCTCTGTGTGATACTTGCAGCGAAAGCCATTTTCTAAGCCTGGAATTCGGGGCAAGCTCACGAGAGGGCACGAAATAGAGACATAGTAAACTCGTAGCCCCAAACAAGCATGTCCTGCAGTGACATGTATATTGAATACCAATCACAGGCATGAGGTTTGCCAGCCCCAGTGCAGCACTCATTTCCAATGCACATGCTGTAGCTCAATCAGAAAGGCCCTCGTGGATAAAAAGAGATCACTTGCCTGGCTCTCTGAATTTTAGCTAATACCACATTTGCAAGTCTTCAAGTGCAAAGGGGGTTTGGTGAAGGGGGTGAGGGGCAAAGAGATGAAGGCGATAGAAAGGCATGAAGAAACAGAAGAATGTCAGAAGGGGGTAGATAAAGATAGAAACTGAAAGTAAGTGGATGAGGAGAGAAACATCGAAATTGGGCTCTGCTTGGGAGTGTGCAAAAAGGGATTATTTATTCCAATAAATAAAACCGTGAATGGCT